AATTACCCATTAAAGATTTTGATCCGGTTCTCAATAAGAAACATTTACTTGAATGTATGAAATGGTACCTCTCCAGTAGTGACTCAATATCAGAAAAGGATGATGTAGCAGATCTTTTCCACTGGTTAAATATTAAAGAAAAAGATGGACTAAGGAATGACAGAATCCTTGTCGAGAGCCTTTATTTGCTTTGCAATTTAGACGATGTCCATCCAATGCTTCGGTATTTAAAACTCAAAACTAAATTTAAAAGGTAAGTTGAAAATATGTTAATTTTCCCTTTTTAGCTAACACGATCAACAAGGCCAAGATGGCCTTAGGTGTCTGTAGCCGTATGGCGGGACAGCGTTGGGGTCTAAAACCAAAGATGACTCCCTGGTTATATAAGGCAATTGTAAGGACCATAGTGAATTACGTGAGTATGAGTGCAAACAACAACAATTGTCACATTGGCCAGTCTACAGTACATCGCGTGCCTTCTAGCAACGGGAGCCATGTCCACCACACCTACTCAGGCAGCCCTAAATGCATTGCTGAACCTGACTCCTCTTTATTTATTCATACATAGGGAGGCCAGTACCAGCATGTACAGGCTTACCACTAGGTTAAGGAGTATATGGCTCTCCCAGACATTGAAATCAACCCAAGACTCAATTCTGAGAATGACATCTGATGTCATGCTTCCCAAACAAAACTTTAAAAAAACCGAATTTCCTACTAGGGAGGACTGGGAAACTAACAGTCTCACCTAGAAGGATGGTAGCTTTCTATGGTATACCAATGGGTCTAAGATGGGACCCAACGTAGGCTGTGGTATACACGGTGTGAGACCCAGGCTCAGCTACAAGCTGAACATGGGACGACACTCCTCTATCTTTCTGGCCGAAGTGTACGCCATAATTGCTGCGTGAGAAGAACCTGAAAAGAGGCTATGTTGGCAAGCATATTTACATAAACTCAGATAGTCAAGCGGCTCTACATGCACTAGCCTCAGTCACCCAAACATCGAGGATTGTAGAGAACTGTGTAAATATACTGAACACTCTCGGGGAAACTAATACAGTGGTACTGCGCTGGGTTCCAGGTCACTCTGACATTGAGGGTAATGAGTCAGCGGATGAACTGGCAAAGGCTGGTGCTAGGGAAACCTTTATTGAACCCGAACCTTTCATAGGGATAGCATACAGCCTGGCAAAGCTCACTCTGCTAAATGAGTGCACACGTTTAAGGAGGCTGCTGAGTTTCCTGGAGGAGCTTGGGTGGCACGAGTAGGACCCTGCACCCACCACACGCAAAATAGGCGCTTTGTCGTCGAGTTGCGGATACTAACCCGTTGCACCAAGTACCAAGATGAGTGCACACACCGTTCCCGAGAAGTGTGGCTACAGAACAAGGGTCTTGAGCATTCAAAGCCCTGATATCTGCCTACAGTGCCGAACACTGCCTGCAACTAGATCCTTAACAGGGCATTGTGGCTTAAACAAGCACATATCAAATATTGGGCAGAGAGAAAATAAAGAATCTAGATTTTGCCACCGGAGGATGAAACTCCTGTTCATCTACTCACCCAATGCTACCCCCTGATGGGCGTACGAAGTTCCGTACTGGGAAGGCACATACCACAACCAGAGGACATTAAATCTGTCGGAGGAAAGTCCTTCAGTTTTATGCTGTCGGCCTTGGCTGTGCACTGTAATTAGTGGTGATCACAATAGATCAGTCAATGGTCGCAGTGATGAGGGATGCATAAGCCCTGAATGAAGCTACCCTAATAATAATAATAATACATGCTACGTACTTGCCCTGTTGAGATACTGCTGTTCTCCCTTAGAAATCGCGCTTTCTGTCATTCACGCGCAAGTCGCGCCCTGTCGTGCTCACCCTACTGATTAACAATACAACACCAAACCATACATTGTGCAGACGCTCAGTGAGCAGCCTTACTACCCAAGCTCCTTCAAGAATCTCAGCATCCACTTGGGTTTGCTGAAGACTACGGGGAACCTTGGTCCTTCTAGGTACGTCGCCCTGTTATTGGCCATGCTGGAGCTCTGTAATAGGATAAGTACGGTCGTTTCGAAACGGCCCGGCACGCTCTGCATTTATTATATGATCCATGGCCTGTTAGTCATGTTGCAGCTCATAGTAAGTAACCTCATTAATAATATATAATTTGTGACATCAGTATGTTAATGTTTCAGCTCACCAAGACTGTTGCTAGCGTACAACATAGCCATAGCTAACTTAAAATGCAACTTCATAACAATGTGCAAGCTATCAAAGCAACTGTGCCCACTGGCCCACTGCGCCTTTAGCCTGTATCTGCCCATTTTACAAAGGTTAGTAGAAATGATATCATTGACGGACCTCTGCGTCGTCATCTCCGAGGTCCCGGGTTAGATCCCTAGCCGGGTCAGTGTACAAAAACTAACTTTTCTATATTGTCTCGGGGGTGTTTGTGGTACCGTCGTTGTTTTCGATTTCCATAACACAAGTGCTTTGGCTACTTACTTTTGGATCAAAGCAACGTATGTGACATTGTCGAATATTTATTTATTATATACATCGAGTATATGACCAGAAATAGACACGAAATAAGAGCCTTCCATCCCTGGCAACTCATCAGGCCAATGGGCCTTATATCACTTTTAAATATCAACTCTCGTTTGCGTTGAAATCACAAATTAGAAAACGGAAATAGTACAGCGCCAAGAACTCACCTGTTGAATGGTTACCATGCTGGACTGCCATGGAGAGGTGCCAGGTTCAATATTTGTATAGCCTACATTTATTTCTCTCGTAAGTTTGGATGTAATTTGTGGTTGTCTGTGTGTCCATGGCACTCGTGAATAGGGTTTCCCTAGTGCGGGACTATGTTCAGTGTGTGCGTTATTTATTTATATTTCAAACAATTTCAGGCGCGCTCTACAAGTAATGAGCCACGCCTACAACAGCAAGAGCTTAACGGTACCTGTGCCGGTACTGCGGCAATGGCTTCGGTACGAGAATGACGCAATAACAATCGCTGCGTGTACGCACTATGGGCTTCAAGCGCAGAGCAACGCGATTCGGTTATGCAAGGCTGATTTTAAAGAGGATGTCGCTATTGTAAGTACCTCATGCGGTTATTTAAGATTTTTGTCCTGTTTGTACCTAATAAAATAAATAACTATATAAGCAACGTTTACACTTTGGACCGCGTAGAGATATCATCGTAATGAGGGCATAGATTATTAATACAAAGATCGAACACAGAACTTTTTTTTAGGTTGCAGAAATCCCCTGGTACAGGACAAGTTCTGGATGTCTCTTGCGGCGCTGCTAGCCGAAAAAACCAGTACCAAAATCTATAGCAAAAACTCGTAGGAAACTCGTCAACTCGATAACTTGACCTGTGGCTCAGTTGGTTAGAGCAGCGCTACGGTACAGCGTGGTTCAAGTCCCATCGGTCTAAGAAATTTTCCTTTGTGTTCGATCTTTGTATAGAGTTAAATTTAAATGTAGAGTTGACTGTCCACAGAGTGCAAATAATAAAAAACTTAGTACAAACGGTAGTACATCAAGCTACACATTGATTTTGTTCCGTTGCATGATGCTTGATGAGGTTGAGCTTGATGTGCTGTTGACTGTACAAGTCTCCAAGTCTCTCTTCCAAACTTTATTGGCCAGAGATAAAACAAATTCCTCTTGTTTCAGTTGCCGCCTAAAAAACTTCTTTTACACGACGAGAAGCTGGACTTAACAGCAAATCATGTTTTTACTTACAAGACATAGGTTTACTTTAAACTTGAGCAGTGTTGTTCAATTTAGCCCTCGATCTCAAATTATGTTATAATAATATTAATATAAGTAGGCGGATAGATAATTTTGTGTTATAATAATTTTAAAAATAAAACAATATTTTTCTTATAAAGGGAATCCTTTATTTGTTTTATTTACATATGAAATTCTCCTAATTACGCGTAACTAATTACAATGGACAACAAAAACTATCTATCAAACGGTCGCATGGCTCCCAACATGGTCAAATTCATTCAAAGATACAATTTACCTTCCTGTTTGTAAATACGTTAATATTAACTACTTTTTTGAGATATAATACACTAATATACGCAGAAGTATGAGCTAGAGACCTGGCCCGGACGCACTTAGGTCTTTATGAAACCGAGACCTCGTTATAATGAAGCCTGAACGTCATTATGAAACAAAGAACACGTTATGAAGATCTCGTCATTATAAAATGGAGACCTTACCATTATGAAGAAGTGACCTCATCATTATGAAACCGAGACCTCGCTATGAGATAAAGTCCACATCATTATGAAGCCTCATTGTAATGAAGCCTGAACATCATTGTGAAACAAGGAACACGTTATTCGGAACCAGATCTCGTCATTATGAAACAGACTTCAATCATTATGAAATGAAGACCTTATCATTATAAAGAAGTGATCTCATCATTATGAAACATGGACCCTGACTTGATTATAAAGGAGGTTTTGCAATAATTGAGTAAGTCACATCCAAGCAAAAGCTCAAGTTAACTTCTACGGTTTACACGAACAATATAAAAACCGTATTTTTACAAGTTAAACAAGATATTATCATTTCACTTTTACATTTTAGAAACGAGAAAGAAATAATCCAGTATTTGTTAAAATTATGTTTCTACGTCACCTATGTGTCACATAAAACCATATCTAAATTCATTGTAAAACGATCTAAAACAGGAAACAATTAAAAACAGCCGAGTCTTTAATAGGGATTATGTACAAAAAAATTACACTACTTCGCTATGTGCTCTCACATCGTTCACTTTTTTGCGATTAAATTGTTCTATTCAATGACATACAATAATAACTAAAGAAATTCTTAGTAAGAGAAGAAATTAAAACTAAATTACCTTGATTTAAAAAACAAAAGTTGCATTTACTGATGCATTTGTTTCCGTAAGGTTTATTAATAAGTTTCCAGCACATAGTTAAAATTGCACCCTGAGGCAAAACAAGAATGTCATTTGGTAACTGACCGTGGAGATTTAATCGTTTGTACGCCATTTGAGTCATAAATAAACCAGTCACTCAAACACATAGATAACTAATATAAAACTTGAGAGCCTGATAGACCTTTAAATTCAGTTATATAGATAGAAATGTAGAATACATAAAAGTTACTTACAGAAAGGTATGAATTGGACAAAGTAGCAATTACATTCGTGGCTAATGGCGTCGTCCGCCATAATCTTTATATTATTTTTACAAAACTGCCGTACATAGTTATTAGCGAAATCATCGATTATTTCCACGGGGCTATAAGAAGAAGAAAAATTACGTTCGTACGTCGTCTTAGCACAGCCGTCCTTAAGTTTTTATTGAAAAAATTTAAATTTAATTTCCAAATGCATTTTTGTGACAAATTCAGAAAATTTTAAAACATTTTTTTATTTGTTTAGAGCTTCGATCATTATTGAACATGTCAGCACCGTTAGATAAACAATACATTAAGAAAACACTTAATGAACTGCAAACAATTAAATAAAACATACGATTAGATCTAACTAAAAGTTTCATAAATAACAACACTTGTTTAACTGTACGAAATTTCACAGGAACGCAAAATAAACCCCGAACCAATTGTATTAGTAAGAGATTAAAACAAATGAACGAAAAAAAATACAGTCAACTAATTTTGATATTTCCAATTAGAATGTAGGAAGTAAAATGATTGCGAAGACTTGAAATAAACCCTGCATTATTTAGAAGATTTTCCGTTACGCTAATGTGTGTAGTAAATAATAAAGCCTTACTCAAAAATAATTTTGAGATTTTTGTCTCAACATTTTCTCGGATCGATTTTTTTTTTTGATTTATTAAAACGGAGATTTAGTTAATTGAATTTAAACGTCTACCAGGTCCTGTGACAATTAAAGCGTTATATGACATATCCTTAAATACTGCATTGTAACATAAGCAGATATCATAAGAATATGTCCTTTATATTATTATTCTAATAATTTTATACAATTTTAAATTTTGTTTTATTATCTAAAGAAAATTTTATTACATATGTTGGTAGCACCAAGACTTTGCAGATAATATATACGGGAAGGCAAACGAAGAAAAAAATCAATGAAACGTGTTGCGGAACCATTGAACCAAAACAAATATAACAAGCTAAATGTCAAACATTTTAACAAGTTTAGACTGCAGTCTACGCGATTTCATTGTATTACAACTCATAAAAGCTGATAAATAATTTTAAAACAAATAACAAAATCTATTTTACAGAAGTACTTGACGCATTCAACTGTGTGAATGGGAGTAAATGTACATATTTAATTCCGCAGGTATGGCTGGACACTCGAATTATAATCGATATATCTACATAGCAGCGATACATCGTATAGAGGATCAGTGGTCAATTGCGATACACCACGCGCCGAATGCAAAGTGCCGCGGGTTCTCGAGCAGTCGATTGAAATAACTTTTTACGCTTAAACAATAACGCGTCGACATCACTCCGCTTTACAATAATAATGACTGCGGTAACCTGAAACCTAAATGACAAATATTTAGAAAGTTGACTCTTATTTGTTACAATACTATACTTCGTTTTAATCCATTTTCAACAAAATGTAAACAACTCACTGACCCGACCATAGACGGTTTAGTGATGGTCAATTGTAATGCCAACTACAAATCGATTAATTAATTGAATTTGAAATATTCGATTTACTAATCGATTACAAAAACTTAAACTGAATGACTTGAATGTTTTTTTCGTAAAGCGCTATGCAACCATAGACAAGACGATGTATAGATGAAAAATAACCTCACTTTTGGGCTACCATTTTTCAAATACAATTTTAGGATGCTATTCAAATAAATTTTGTTGGAAAAAATTATAAGATATAAGTTGAAATCTTCGTGAAAGTGTTACTGATTCGATTTATTGAGTGGTTGCCATAGAATTTTAACCAAACAGGTTTGTTTATTTTTTGTTGAAAATGGTTTGGAATCACCCAAAACCCCTACTATAGTCGTCACAAAATAATAGATCATATTTGACAGCTAAACCAGTCGATAGTATGTAACTTTGAATGCAATCAACGAAACAGTAAATAAGCAATTAATAACTTATTGGGTTTTAAAAAAATACATAAATTTTATTGAAGGTCTATACGTTATGAAAGAAACATATTTCAAGTATTATTTTCGCAGGAATTCCAAAATAAAATCCAATTTTGAGTTACTCCGAAACGTCTTATAAACAGTTACATCTTCAGTCTAATTCTTTTTAATAATAGTGTTGTAACCAATAAGCGCCGACTATCATCGAGTCAAATCGGTTTCACTTTAAAAAAAATGACTTATTTAATTACTAAAGTCGTCACAAAATAATAGATCATATTTGACAGCTAAACCAGTCGATAGTATGTAACTTTGAATGCAATCAACGAAACAGTAAATAAGCAATTAATAACTTATTGGGTTTTAAAAAAATACATAAATTTTATTGAAGGTCTATACATTATGAAAGAAACATATTTCAAGTATTATTTTCGCAGGAATTCCAAAATAAAATCCAATTTTGGGTTACTCCGAAACGTCTTATAAACAGTTACATCTTCAGTCTACAAAGAAATAATTCTTTTTAATAATAATGTTGTAACCAATACGCGCCGACTATCATCGAGTCAAATCGGTTTCACTTAAAAAAATGACTTATTTAATTACAAAAAACAAAAATTTTAAAGTGCTTACAAAATTAGACTGAGTATACTAGTATTTATAGTAGACAGAACCGTAAAGTCAGATTTGTATTTCCTTTTCTTTATCGCAAATTCTGAAACGGCAACACTGATGTCGATTTAGCGTCACTCTGCATCGGCGCCCGCGCAGTCTTTCGCCGTCTTGGAAGTTGACTGTACGCTTGGTTATTCGTGGTGTTTTTTCTTGTGACTCGGCTGTGCTTTTGGACTACTTCTATTTTCAATCTCGTTGACCTTGGCTTGGATATTTTGGACTTGATTCTGTGTGAACTCTTTTTCAACATGTCGAAAAGAGGACGTGCTTTAAATAGCCAGACTCGCGAACTGGTTGTGAAATTACACGACTATTTCGAAAGGGAGTCACTTAATGGTGGACCTCTATTACCAGTGAGTGACACAAGTGCAAAATCGCGTCGCAAGTGCACTTGGAATCGGCAAAAGAACGGTACACACCATCATACAAGAAAAATATGGGCCTTCCGGCTCTCAAGAAAACGTATTACATACGCCTAGAAAGAGGAAGAAAAGCAAGCCTGTAACAGGTATCGACACGTTCGATGCAGACGCTATTCGTAACCATGTTTATACATATTATACTAGACACGAGTACCCTACTGTGAGTAAATTGTTGGTATCACTTCGAGAGCTTGGCTTATTTACTGGGAGTGCTACCTCACTGATTACAATTTTGAAAAAAATTGGTTTTAAATACAAGAAGTCTGACAAAAGAAATATTATGATGGAAAGACATGATTTAATATTACAAAGAGTTTCATTTTTGAGAGAAATGAATAAAATTACAAATTGGGATAATGTTGTGTTTATCGATGAGACTTGGTTGAACTCAAACCACACAGTACCACAATCATGGACCGACGACACTAAAGCATCCAGCTCGAAAGTGCCAATGGGAAAAGGTGGTCGCCTCATAATTTGCCATGCTGGATCAGCCGGGGGAGGTTTCGTTAATAATGCTTTACTAGCATTTGAATCAAAAAGTACAAAAGAATATCACGAAGAAATGGACGCAAACAAATTTAAAGAGTGGTTTAAAACTTTACTTCAGAACCTCCCCGAACAATGTACAATAATTATGGACAATGCATCGTATCATTCGGTTCAAATAGATCGAGCGCCGACTCAGGCAAATAAAAAGGCTGATTTGGTGGCATGGCTACAGAGGAATGGTGTCGAAGCTGACATGGAGCTATTGAAAGTGGAATTGTTAAGATTAGTGCGAGAGCATAGACCTACAAAACTTAGGTATGAAATTGATGAATTGGCACTTGAGCATGGACATAAAATTATAAGGACACCGCCGTACCACTGTCAATACAATGCTATTGAGTTGATTTGGGCTCAAATTAAAGGTTAATATTTTTGCATTTAATACTGTTATTTTAAATTCGTATATATTAAGACTTATTTTGTACTAGTAGCATATTTTAATAAAGTACAAATGTAAAGAGGTAACATATAAACTTTCGAATTTGTAATATCACTGTGAAGGAACATTACTATTTTACAACAGTGTTTTTTTTTTACAGGCTACGCAGGACGTAATAATACTAAGCCACCGTTCTCCACAAAAAAAATGATGACTTTATTAAAGGAAGCATGTACTAAAGTAACAAAGGAAGACTGGAGAAAGGTGGTGGAAAAAACTAGAAAACTAATAAAAGAAGATTTTGACAGAGATGTTAATATTGATAATTTAATTGAAAACGAGTTAATTATATGGACTGGTGAAACTAGCTCAACAGATGGTTTTGGTTCATCTTCCGATGACGTTGATAAATAAAAAATTCCAATAAGGAGGTCTTTTGTTTTACTTCAGAATTTTGTTATTTACGTACAGGTTATCCTCGTGAACTATGCTATTAATGTATAACTACAATACAACAACAAGTACAGGTTGCCGTTGTGCTCACTTAAAATACTTACTTATTATTTCTATTAAACTGTATAACGTTTAAATAAATGTTGATTGATATATCTAGAACTGAAAAGCAATGAACAGAAAAATAACCTAAACGATTACAAACTCCTAAAATTTTTAATCGATTTCTCGTGAGAATCGTTTAAACTGGTTACCGATATTGCAGTTCACATCACTATTTACGTTGCGATGACATGTGTCAAATATGATCTATTATTTTGTGACGACTATAACAAATAATTACCATTTATGTCATGGTTAGACCTACAGGTACGGTGGAATGTACCCATAACATGTATACAACGGGTGTTGTCGAGAGAGCGTCACAAAACTATTATATTATAAATTAGATAACGATATAATCATTTCAATCTACTGCTTCAGTACTAACCACATGTAATTAGAAGACCTCGCCGTGTCGCACTGACGACCGGGACAAATATAACTGAATAAATTACATTCAATCGAAATAAAATTAGTGTTGCAATGTATATTCGGCATCACGGCGCATACCGAATAATCGGCCTGAGTATGAGAATTGGCACGCAAACCGAATCATGGCCAAGATTGCGCACCTGCTCTCTGATTGGCTCGCTGTAACTAAGATTCGCCAATCGCGTTAATTCTTGACTAGTTTTCATTTGATTTATTACCTTAATTGACCTTAGAAAAACTTAATAATATCACATTTCCTTTGATCTTTTAGATAAATTAAGCGAAATAGTGATTTTGCGAACTTACAATGTATGTTCAGGAATATAATTTACTGTTTCTTTTAAACTTTCTCCTCGGTTTTAGTTATTCGGCCGAATAGTTATTCAACATTCGACCGAATAGCAAAAAATAGGCCGAACAAGTCAAGTACGGAATAGTAACCGAACATTCGTTGCAACTCTAGATAAAATACGTGGTTTTATTTAATGACCGAGAAAATTTATCATAATATTTTCGGCCATAATTGTCCCAAATCTTTAAGTTAAGAAAATCCAGTAATACTTATAGGTGACACAGGGAGAAATCATAAAAGCAGTCAACAAGAAGAGCTTACAAAGTTATTTGTTTGACTGTAAAAGAGTTATTGGCTTGTATACGCACGACACAGCGTCGAGATGGAGTGTTTTGAGGTCATACCCGAAGTTCGCAGTCGTTCGTTTAAGGCACGGCGGGGATCGCAATGAGGCGACTCCGCCGATTTGCGGCCGGAAGGTGTCCGGACCACGTCATGGATATAACCATTGCGCCGACTCTGGTCGCCTGTAGAAAAATGCAATATATATTATAATTATACAGAGTGTGGCCACCACAATATGTCTGTCCATTTTGCAGTTAATGTAAAGAAACCGGTTTGGTTGAAATTCTAAAGCAAGCATTCAACAAATGGAATAACTAACACTTTTACGTATATTTTGAAGGTTTCGACTTGATAGCTCTCTCATCAATTTTTCAACAATATTCATTTGAATAACAACTTTAAAATCGTATTTGAAAAATGTTACTGTACGAGAAAATATAATTTGATTTATTCAATTAAAGTTTATGCAATTGATTAGTAAATCGAATATTTTAATCACAATCGAGGAAGTATGTAAGTGTCAGAATTTGAAGGATTTAAAAATAAGATTTCGGATAGTATAATATATAGTAAGAACTAGCGGTTTTTCAAACATGACTTATACTTAAGTACTAACTATGGACGAAAATATCACTGTATCGAATCAAATATTCTTTATTAGTAATCAGCAGCGAAATCGCAAATAGAACTGTTACTTATTACAACTTATTCAATTAAAAAAATTGATTCATACAATTAATTAATTGATGTGTAGTTGGCAGTACAACTGGCCATCATGAAACTGTCTATGGTCGGGTCAATGACCTGTTTGTTTACTTTTTCTCTATAATCGATTGAAACGAGCTGTGTGTGGCCTTTTGTAATAAACCAAATCGTACCTTGTGAGGTACTCTATCGATTAATATTGTCCACGGAGTTACAAGAACTGGGAGGATGTAGATTATATTTTTCTATACCCAATGGAGCAATAAACGTTTTTGACGTAACTTTACTTATACCATTCTTCCATGAGGGGTGCTAAATGATTGCACTGAAATTTCATAAAGAACACGCTTTAAGTGTGGAGGCTATATGGTATGGTTTAACTTTAAAGTCAAGAATGATCTCACCTAATTGTGCTTGAGAAAGGCGTCATCGAAGAGCTCCAACTCATGACAGAGGTAGTTGGCTTTGTTGCGCAGCTTCTTCGCAGAAGAGGAGGCGTCGTCCAGCATCTTAATGGCTTCTTTGACTTCGCATAGCTCGGAGTCCATCTCCGTCGTAGCCTCGTCGATTAGCCGACATAGACGCGCAAACATCGTTGAGAGTTCCCTGTAGGAATTAGTAGATTTGTAACGGTCCATGTAACCATAGACAACTGTGGTAAGTCCATACAAAGGTACCAGCGCACACGTGCACCACGCGAATTAAGCAAGTGGCACGAGTTTTGACAAAATAAAAATACTTTTATACTAATCATCTCAAAGCGAGATGATTTTATTTCAATTCGAGCACCTTTTAAAAGGTAAGGTGTGGGGGCCGCCTCTCGCGTCCCGCAACCAGCGCGCTGAAAATGTATATGAACGAAATAATAACAGGCGGAGAAAATTTGCCACAGATCCGTCGTCAACAAGTGCCCGATGGCGACTGACGGGGCGCGGACCGTCATTAAACTGCTGGAAAATTTAAAAATTTTGATGTGAATTTAATAACTATAGGGCTTCAGTTGAAAATCAAAATTTTGCAGGTTCTTTGTGGTAGTCAAAGAGAAACAGTAGAGCAGTAGAGTTCCTTGCGAAAGAGTTCGTCCAGGGAAATACTGCCACCTTACCTATTTCAGCCGCCAAGCAGTAATGTTAGCATTACTATTAAATAAAAAAAATTCGATTAACACGTTCCGCTTGCTCTCTCTTAAAATATTACTTTAACATAGTTAAACTGCATAGTTCTTACCTAAAATTTTCAAAATTATTGAGTGTTAATACAGTGAACCTAGTGCAGTGATTAGTAAACATTGAACATAATTTTAATAGCCACATTAGTGAGAAATCCATAGAACTTTCATAGAAGTATATTTTAAACTCAGTGACTCTGCGAGACGTTGACGGAAACGCGTAAGCGACGCAACTTGCACGGCGCTTACGACCTTCTGGTCACGAAGTTGCCGCGACAGTTACTGCAAACTTCGAGTTCTTTTCTTTTTGGCGGTACTCAACATCATCACTGTGTGGACAAACCTGTGCGTATATTCAATATTCATTATTGTACCAAATTATACCGACCTAATAACCAAATAAAATGTCGAGCAAACAATGTGCAGGTTGTAAGCGTATAATGGAATTTGGTGAGGAAAATGTGACTTGCTCATTGTGTCACTCAATCTACGATAAGATATGCGCAAATATTCCATGTTTGGACAACGAATGTGTGACTGAGAATTGTCTCACATCATGGATATGTGTAGCATGCCAAAGCCGTTTGAGGAGAGGTGGTGATAATTCTGAAACACCCATTCGTGCTGCGAATAAAACTCTTGCCCATGAAAATGTTACGCTTAGAACTAAAGAGCGGCAACGCGCCATCTCCTCGCTGCCTAAAGACTCTGATGGCTCTACGGGTCTGTCTGTTTCTCAAATACGAGAACTTATTACAGCTGAAATTCATAATACGGTTTCCAAATCAATCCAAACAGGTCTATGTTCTCATCTCAAAGAGATCCGTGATGAAATACTAGATTATAAAAAGAATTTACAATTCTTCAACACCAAACTAGACGATATACTGTCACTGTTTAATTCTAGCTCTGGAAAGATTAAGGTGCTCTGTAATGAAATTGCGTTACTCAATGTCAGAGTGAACGAACTGAATCAGCATTCTAGTAGTGTTATGATGGATTCACCTGTTTCGATTGTGGCACAAATGAATGATAATTTTCAAAAGCAGGAAATTGCTATTAACAAAATAACAGGCGCTCAATCTACAATACTAGCAAAGCTAAATAATGACAACGACATACGGAGGAGATTAACTGAGACCGTAACTGACAAAACGGAAAGGTCCAGCTTACCCAATGCTAGAAAGACGCCAAGCATCGCTGCAAACATTTCAAAAAATACAAAAAAGCATATGCAGAAGGAAAATACTACTCCACGGTCAGTCCCTAGTATTCTACATACTGAATCTGTGTCATCACGTGTTGCATTGCCTGCTCAACCTTCGAAGTCAGTAACAAACCAACGCATGTCGAAACAAAATGAAGAGGACCAAAAGGGCGAGTGGACCAAGGTTGAACGTAGGCGTACCCATGGCTCACGGCCTATGGTTCTGCGAGGAACTGCCGCTCCCGGAGCCACTACACTGTGTGCTGCGGAAATGAAAAGCTACCTACACCTTTACTACATCCAAGAGGGGACCACAGTAGAACAAGTGAAGAATCACTTGAACTCCATATGCGGAATGGACGTCTGTTTGGTGGAAGCGCTTAAAGCCCGCGGCAGTTATGCTTCGTTCAAGCTTAATGTGCCAACAAAATTAGTTGAACTAATAATGTCACCAGGTGTTTGGGCCGAGGGAATCTGTATCAAGCCCTGGCGGCAGAACTTTCGTGCCAAACAAGATAGTAAACAATAAGCACGAAAGACATAAAAACTAAAAGTGTTACTACCAAAATGTTCGCGGACTACGTTCCAAGACTTCTGTGTTTTATAATACTGTCACACAATGCAATTATGATTTAATTGCTCTATCTGAGACCTTTCTGACAAGCTCTATTTTAGATGGTGAACTTTTTCCAGCCGGTTATATAGTTGCACGTCGTGATCGCATAGGGGACGCCGGTTGGGGCGGGGTTCTCCTGGCTGTACGTGATTGTTTCTCTGTTCGTATACTTAGTAATATTGATGGAATGTCAGACGACATGGAACTCATAATTGCTATAATTACTAGGAAAAATGTAAAATTTTTGTGTTGTGTTGTATACTTACCTCCGAATTGTAACGCTGAAAAATATTTAAGAGCCCTGACATGCATTGAAAATGCAATTTGTTTGTTTCCCGACACAAATATACTCATTTTAGGAGATTTCAATTTAAATTCCTGTAGCTTGCTGGTTAAAACTCAATTTGACTGTTTCTGCGAGTTCTGTAAATTGCATCAGTATAATAATGTTCACAATAACTATAACGGCGTATTAGATCTTGTATTGAGTAATATAGCATCCATCAATGTGTCAGTGACCAAGGCTGTAGAGTCCTTTGTCCCTGCTGACAATTACCATCCCCCACTTGAAATAACTGTACAGTTTACCCTGGGCAATGTCTCTACGCTTCCCGTGCAGTTCTCCGTTAATCGCCAAGGACTTTGTCCTAACTGGAATTGGCGCAAGGCTGACTTTGAGGGGCTCTATGAAGCTTTGGGTTTGTTGAACTGGTCGGATCTGTTAGCTACAGAAGACATAGACATAGCCACAGAATTGTTTTATAAAAAATTATACGAGTGCATTAACAATTATGTTCCTCAAAAAAATATATATTCGAGGTCTCATAAAAAGTACGTATATCCCAAATGGTACACGCCAGAAATAATTCGAAATATTGAGAATAAATACTTTCATTTAAAAATGTTTAAATCCGGTAATTCATGTTTTAATAAAGCAATGTTCAAATATTATAGAGGTCGTGTAAAATTTTTAATAGACAATGCATACAGGCAGCACATGTTATTAATTGAAAAAAATATAATTGACAATCCGATTAAATTCTGGGAATACATTAAAGATAAGAAAACACAGCGCCGACGGGATGAGTCTTTTATGTACAACGGCAAAGAGGTGTCTGGACAGGCGGCCGCGGATGCTTTCGCCCACTACTTCAACTCAGTGTTTTTAAATGGAATGCCACGGCTGGATGCTGCAGAGGCTGAGCGAGTAGCAGGTTTCGCGCCAAACGCGACCACGGTCTCTATCGGCGAAATATCCGAAGGCGATTTAAGAAAAGCTGTAAAAAGACTTAACCCGCACACAGCTGGTGGCCCTGATGGGATTCCGGTTTTCATAGCGAAGGATTGTATATCTGTGCTTATCACGCCACTGCTTTATCTCTATAATCTATCGCTAACTCATTCGACTTTCCCGAAGATATGGAAGTGCTCTAGAGTGACGCCTATACCGAAATCAGGTACTGACTGTAACGTCATAAATTTTAGGCCTATTGCAGTGCTCTCGGTTTGTGGAAAAATATTTGAATCGATATTAAACTCCCATATAACAAGACAAGTTCGTAACATTTTTCATAACAGTCAACACGGTTTCCGCGTAGGTAGATCGACAAATACCAAACTCGTTTCTATCGTGGACTATGTATGCACTGAAATGGATTTGGGAGGACAAGTAGATGCCGCTTACTTTGACCTCAAAAAGGCATTCGATCTTGTCGATAATGATATTTTATTACAAAAACTGGCAGCTTCAGGCTTCACGCCCAAACTTCTGCAGTTTTTTGCGAGTTACTTGGGTGGTAGACACCAGTTTGTTAGGGTAGGTGGTTATGAGTCTCTTAATTACTACACGAGATCCGGAGTGAGCCAGGGAAGTACCTTAGGGCCGACACTTTTCTTACTCATGATTAACGAACTACCAAACTATATCCGATACACTAAATGTCTATTATTCGCGGATGATTTGAAGCTCTTTACGAAGGTTAGTAAGGCGTCAGATATTGGGGCGCTCCAATGTGATATTGATGCCGTGGCCGAGTGGAGTCGGATTAATCGATTGCCACTTAACGTAAATAAGTGTCAGGTGATCACCTTTACGCGTAAACGATCTCCTCTGCTTAGTAGATATAGTTTATATGACGCTCCTCTGGATAGAGTTAATAAAATTCGCGACCTTGGTCTAATATTGGATGACAGACTGGATTTTCATGATCATGTGACCGACATGTGCAAAAAAGCTAGCAAAACTCTAGGTTTCATTATGAGAACTGCTTCACAATTCCAGAACAGTGGAGTAGCAAAAATTTTATATAATGCGTACGTTCGCAGTAAACTTGAGTACGGCGCTATCATTTGGGATCCACACGAAAATAAATATAACCTCGTAGTGGAAAGACTACAACGTAAATTCGCTCGATGGCTATACAAGAGAACTTATGGGTATTATCCGTTTCTCTACCCCTCCTTGTTTGTAACAGCCATGGTAGACTTGGAAACGCTTGAATTTAGGCGAAAATGGATGCTCGTAGTACATTATCTGTCAATCGTGCGCAGTAAAATTGACTGTCCTGATATCCTGGAGAAATTCGGCATTCAGGTGCCCAGTCGCATCAGTTGGGATGAGACTGGGATAGTGCCTCCGCGCAGACGGCCGCGCTTGCTGCAAAGGCCGTTTGTACGTACAATTCGCGCTGCGCACGCTCCCTCCGTGCGGGCGCTCACGCTCATCGGCGATATGCTTGCTGACCGCTATGACATAGATCTATTTGCCGATTCCTTTGGACAACTTCTTATGAAGGCAAACATATTTTTAAATGACTATTTTTTACTTATAGAACATTAGTTATTCAGTAGGTTAAAATTATGACATTTTAAAATTGTATTATAGTATTTTTAATTCATGTTGATTCTATTTGATTATTTTAATTTTAATTTTTTATTTTTTTATTATCAATGTAACCTAAGCTAGTGGGTGTATTGGATAAGCTCTGTAAGCCCACTCGCCATACTGAATAAATGAATAAATGAATACTGTGTTCCGATTTTGAAGGGTAAAGGTGCTGGTAAAATTACAGGCACATAGGACTTGTCAAGTTATGTCTCAGGGTGACGGGCGCAGTGGCAGTGCCCCTCAGATCTTTGCGATTTGAAGCTCTGAGTGGCACTGCAACTGTCACGGGCAGGCGTGTAGCTTACCATCACGCGCACGACTTGTTCGTCCCGTCACTTGATATAATAAAAAAAATAAACATCCATTACAATTTATATGCAAAGTTAGATATTTTAATCTTAAATAAGTCGTTTTAAACATGATCGGATAAAGTAGACTTATAGTGTAACTAATTAGCACATTCTTTAGATAATATCGTTAGATACATAGTATATTTTTTTGTAAAACGCTGCAAACGTGCTCGCGGTGGTCATATGGACGAGATCGAATTTCATTCTTAAATGTAACATGTGTACTGCACCAGGAATAAATTTGAGCTTGATATCTTCATTATTCTGTATTTTATTGAAATACAACATTGTTATGTCCTTATTGAAAAACCCCTATACAGCTAAAATAATAAAAACCCTACGCCCCTAGCGACATGCATGGATTGACAGCGTAATTTTTATATCCATGACGCGGTTCGGATGCCTTCTTTTGTGACACCTGTAAAGGATAGGATAGATAATCAAGTGGCATCGAGTATATAACCAGAAATAAAGACGAAATGTCATTTAATTTGTTTGAAACTATTCTGGCATATAATTACGGCGACAATTGCGCTCCGATTGGCCAGCCCGAATTCGAAACAATTGACGGGTGTCGTCAAATTGTTTCACTTCAAACCGACCAGTTAACTTGAGCTTTGCTATAATGGACGAAAATTGAAAAATTACATATTTAATTACCGCTGAAAAGTGATTCCGTTTGTTTTGTAATTAGATGTATTGCTGTTTTTCCCACACCACTGAATGGAACAGCCCCCCCATTGTTAGAGATATTATCTTTATTACAATAAATACAGAATATTTTTGAAATACGGAGACGTACACACAGGTCAGTTGTTGGCGCTGTACTATTTCAGTTCTAATTTGTGATTTCCGCCCAAACGAGAGTTGATATTTAAAAGTGATATAAGGCCCATTTGCCTGATGAGTTGCCAGGGATGGGTGGTATTTATTTCATCTCTATTTCTGGTTATATGTCGACGTCAAGTGGTGACACTTACTGTTGCACCTGGTGGGAACAGTTGGCCGAAGTGAGATCGACGATCAGCCGCAGCTTCTTGCTGGCGTGCCCCACGTACTGCTTCTTGAAGAGTCGCTCCTGTGCCTTGGCCGTCCACGTCAGCCGCTCGTACGCGTACAGCGCTCCGTATAACACGCCCGTCGCCAGTACTATGCGCCAACCCACTGTTTTTAGAAGCTGGGGACAGAGTTTTTCGTATGTTACATTTACATCCTAGATCAGCTATACTCAAACTTTTTTTCCCTTCGGGCCACATACACGTGTTTGCTATGTAACACTGGCCTAAGGTCATGGAAAAAATTCCATTTAAAAAAAAAACAAATTTTTCAGGATATTTTTCGACATTTGACGTTGACACTTGTCAAGTTGATGTTACTAAACGAACACAATGGAGTCATTATAAAGGTTTTTTTTTCTCTGTGGTCCAATCATTTTAAATCTCCTATTTCTATAACTTGCTTCTAGCTATACAATTTTATTTTATAATTTACGCTAAATAAAACTTCAAACGATATTTCTAAACCAAGGACATAGTATGGGCCTTTATATTTTTTTCAATTTTTCCAATTTTACACAAATTTTTCCAGAAAATTTTCCACTATTTGAAATTTTGGGAAAATTATCCAACAATATACGGGCCGCAAAATTTTAAGGCGGTGACATTTTGGCACGAGGTTTAAAACTATAGTGAAACAGAAACTATATACTAATGGTTATTATACAACTTCTGCGTACTTGGATGACAAAAATCCGTGGTAGTAACCCGTTTAGCTCATGGAGATACTCTCGATCTCTGATGTTTGAGAGCAAAACAAAAAATATATTGTAAATGTTGAATATGTAGGTACAAATGTTATTTACAAACAGCAACCCCTAGATTTTCTTGCTCATTCTTCTCAGGGGAATCTGCCTTACGAATGAGCGGCAGAGTTTAACCAATGCGAATTGACGATTTCAAGTATAATAATGCTTACCTATGAAATAAAGATTACTTTGATTTTGATTTTAAAATCCTCCATCAAATCCTTACACTTAGATACGAATAATCGATTACTAAACTTTAATTGATTGAACTGAATGTTTTTTTTCGAACAGCACTATGCAACCATAGGCAAGTCATAGAAGTATAGATGAATAATAACCTCACTTTTGGACTACCATTTTTCAAATACGGTTTTACGATGCTATTCAAATGAATATTGTTGGAAAAAGTGATGGTATATCAAGTCGAAATCTTCCAAATATACGTGAAAGTGCTACTCATTGACTTACAAATAAATGGACGACGGGTGTAATACAAAAACCACGAAAAAAATGTCCCAAGTCAACCTATTCGAAATTTAAATTGTAATGTCATCGCAGTATCGCGCTGTCAGTAGAACAAATGAAGACTAAAGCGGAGTTTCGCGCTCTGTATACGATTTTAGCGCTTTACAAGTGCGGACACTTTTTGGCGCGGACCCGACGTCCATATAATTGTAAGTCAATGAGTGATTGCTTTAGAATTTTAACCAAACAGGTTTGTTTACTTTTTGTTCAAAATTGATTGGAACAGACTATATTATATCTATTCAAATGTCCAAAACGTGTGGCGCAATATTCCTCACCAGTCCGGAGAGCAGCAGGCCGCCCATGGTGCCCTGCGAGGTGAGCGCGCCCATCGCGAACTTGGACACGAGGCCCCACTCCTCGGCGCTGAGGGGGCCCACCGCGGCGCCCGCGGGCCCGTTGCTGGGCGCCAGCTCCAGCGCCGACGGCGTCGAGCTCACCGTCGCCGGGATCTGCACGAACTTACTTACTTACTTATTACTCCATACGGCAGACGTAGTAGATAGGCATTCGCCTCTTGGACCGGACTAGCATGAAGGTTTTTGGAACGTGCAAGCTAAATAATGTCTATTCACTCTCGCCTTGAAAAGCTCAAGGAATTCCACTCCATAGCGAATTTTTTTAATATCCACCAAATAGGGGTGGAACTCCCGCCTACTTGTAGTCCCCCGATAACTAAAAGATGCCAGAATTACAACGTGCAAATTGCACGTACCCCGTGACATAGAAATGAACGAGTCCTTGGTACTTAAACCAGAACAGTGGGTGAACTCGGGCTGTGACAAATTGGACACGTATATAAAATCTTGGCATGTAGCGGCGTCAAATCGCGATGAGTGGAGAAAGGAAAAGGAGGCCCTTGCCTTGCAGTGGCACAAAAATGGCTGAAAAATTAAATTAAGTTAAGCGCTAGATAATTAAGCTACGAATTCATTTCCCCCAGTAGTGCTATTTCGAGAAAGGGATTTTCTAAATTAGATCTGATCTAGTTGTTCTATATTTCTCTGGCACCGTTTATATATTTTTTTAACACTACATTATAAAATAAATGGTGAAAAATTTAAAACCATGTCTTCTGTATTATCTCGTCTTTGACACGATAGACAGAAATAATGATTGAAAATCTGGTAAGATATAATGCAGCTGTTTTTTCACGATTTAACCTTCAGTTACACACCGACTCTTCCTACGTAAAGTATCGTATATCGAAATTGCCAAATTCACAGGGGAGTGTTAAGTTTTAAATTCACTGAAATGAGTATAACACGTGACTTTAGTACAGAAATGCTAAATTAAATTGTAAAATGATAAAATAAATTGTGGTTGTTCATCTAACCGATATCTAGGATTTTATAATACTCTGTGTGAGTTTTGCCGAATAAAACTGAGAAATAAAGTCACGTGTTATGCTTATTTATGAGAAATCAAAACTTTAAAACACTCCCCTGTAAACTTGGCAATTTCGACATACGATACTTTACGTAGGAGGGGTCAACACATTTTTACGATACACGCAATATGAAACTGGCGTCTATTCTTCCATTGGACGCGCAGCAGTAGATATTAACATTTAACAAATTAATAGATACTATTGCCTATCGAAGTATATGCGTCTTTTATGTCAATTTTTATATAGATATTATTTGCCAAGTGCTGAATTAACGCCGTAGTAGCGTTTAAAAAAAAGGCAAGTTAGAAAAAAAATTATACTTGACAAGATAGAGACAATCGCACGCCGGTGTATATTGCGGTAAGTTTCTCATGCCTATTGATTATTGGTATTATTTTTACAAAGCACTGGTAACACCATGTAAAGAAATGACAAAAATGCTTTACAAGATAAGAACAATCGCTCCAGACCGCAGTATACTGCCGCGGGTTTATCCATGCCTGTTTACTATTGGTATTTATTATTTATTTATTTCCATAACCATAGTGATTGCATGGGTAGACAAAAACCTGAAAACATATAAATGACCGAACGTAATACACATTATTTCCCAGCAAGCGCTAATTGAACACCGTAGTATAGTACAAAGAAACGACAAAAAATCGATCACATAGAAAAACTTTCTTCGACCCGGCGGGACTTGAACCCACGCTGCACCGTAAAACTGCTCTTATCAACTGAGCCACAGGTCTAGTTACCGAAATTGTCGAAATTCTCCTATGTTTTGTTATAGATCTTTCGTCGATCGTACGGATTTTCGGCATTCGTCGCCGCTAGTATCAGCTGCGGTGGGACCGGTGCGGTGGGTTTTTAAAAAATCCCTCACTGGACACACACGTAGACGTCTACGGTGCAGCGTGGTCGTGGGTTCAAGTCTCACCGAGTCGAAACTTTCTATGTGTTCGATCTTTGCATTAATCATTTAATAGTTTTTTTTTATAATATCAAGTGACAGGACGAACAAGTCGTGCGCCTGATGGTAAGCTACACGCCTGTCCATAACAGTTGCAGTGCCACTCAGAGTTTTAAATCGCAAAGATCTGAGGGGCACTGCCACTGCGCCCGTCAACCTGAGACATGACAAGTCCCATGTGCCTGTAATTTTATCATAAGCAGTTGACAAGATAACAGAGACAATCGCATACCGGTGTGTACTGCGGCGGGTTTTTCAAGGCGATTTTGTTAGTATTCTTTCCCTGGAATCGCTGTATTAGCGCCGTGATGCCGTATGAGAAGCGGAAGGACAGGTCCTCTTGGAAGTCGGCGCAGAGGTTGTCGCAGTTGAGCCGGTAGAGGACCTCGAAGGGCTGTTGGTGAGGCACGATGCAGCTGGCCGCGGCCGCTCGCTTGTGTATCGGCAGGATGTTGTACATGCGGTCTGTATGTAGTGTAGCGATATTACAATTACCTACTTTTAATCGCGGCACAAAAAGAGGGGAGTTCTAAGTCCTTTATCTGTATATTAGTTATAATTGATAAATCTGGTGAGTTGTTTAAAGGTAGAGAAATAAATGTAGGTCATACAAATATTTCTCCCGCTAGGGAATCGAACCCGAAACCTCTGCGTGGCAGTCCAGCATGGCAACCATTCAGCCACGGAGGCAGTCTAATTTTTATGGGTTTTTTTTTATATATATATAATAGACACACGCTTGGCCACAATCTCACCTGATGTTAAGCGACGATGTGACCGACGATGGGACGCGTTTGCCTAAAAAATGCCTATTCACTCTAGCCTTGAATAGCCCCAAATTGTACTTTTCGGGAAATACAGATGCCGGTAGAGCATTCCATTCCTTTGCCGTACGCATCAGAAAGGAGGAAGCAAAGCGCTTAGTGCGAATAGGTGGAATATCAACGACATAAGAATGGAGTGCTCCGGACCTTCTAGTCGACCGATGGAGGAACGGTGAGGGCGGAACCAAATTGAAAAGTTCCTGCGCACACTCCCCGAAATGTATCCGATAGAAAACCGACAAGCAGGCTACTTTTCTGCGATGATCGAGATTTTGGAGCTTCGACTCCACAAGAGTATTATTGTTAATAAGTCTCTTTGCTTTACGCTCCACCGAGTCCAAGGCAGCTAACTGGTATTGGGCAGAGCCGTCCCAAAGGTGGCAGCAGTACTCCATACAGGATCGAACTTGTGCTTTATATAGATTTAAAAGCTGTTCAGGTGTGAAGTACCGCCTGACCTTGAAAAGTATGCCTAGTTTTCTGGCAGCAGTTTTTGCCAAGCACTCGATGTATCGCCCAAAGTTGAGGTTGGATGATAAGTCCAGACCAAGTAGCTCAAAGTGGTCCCTTATCGGCACGGATACACCTCGGAAAGTCGGAGTAAGGTGTAGGGGACTCCGTTTTGATGAGAAAAGACACGCCTGTGTTTTAGCCGCATTAAACCTGACCCTGTTAGCATCTCCCCAGTCGGAAGCAGCTTTCAGACTCAGGTTCAACCGGGTGACCATCGCCTCTCGCTTACACCGGATCTCTTCACTGTTGTCTCGGGCGTCTGGCACATAACTCACCGCCACTGTGCTGTCGTCTGCGTACCCAAAGATACCGGGCATCAGCAGCAGGTCGTTGATATGCAGCAAGAATAGAGTGGCGGAGAGAATAGAATAGAATAGAATAGAATAGAATAGAATAGACATTTATTGCAACGCCACAACACATAGATACAAAAAAAAAATATTGATACTACTTAGACAAGCAAAACAAAACAAAAAGACGTAATAAACAAAATTAAAATAAAATGAAATAAGACAATAACAAACAAAGAGCAAAACAAAAAATACTAAATATAACAACTACAAATGTTGTACTGTCATGTGTGCGGTTGTGGCGTATGCAAAAGGACTTCATTCAGCTTATGCCACAGCCGCAATTGACTGTGGAGCTGGTTTTCAATGAGCCCTGAGCTGAGATGAGTGACGGACGTGTGTGTCACAAAATAAAATAAACTACTTAAATAATTGCGTATGTGTTCTTTGTACGTTGTGTTAATGCTGTGTGTTATATTATAGATCGCAAAAGTACTTAAATATAGCAAATATATATATATATATATATATATATATAAATATACCTACTGTGTGC